CCCCAAAACCCCAAAACCCCAAAACCCCAAAACCCCAAGAAACCAAGATTGAGCATAAATTAGAGAATCGAAGTTTCTAAGAATTGAAGTAAAGCAATAGTATAGACTCCTCGTAAATTGATGTAGAAATGTATAGAGAAAAAGGTTTTTATTGAAGCTTATGCTGATAATTAATTTTTATATATATAATAGAGATTCAGGATTCACTTTGTGATTCATTGACCTCCTCTGAGTCTTAGAACCAAGTGAAGGGTGGATTCCTTTTAGATGTTATAGTCTGAAAGAGTTCTTCCGTCCTCAAGTTGCTTACCTGCGAAGATAAGTCTTTGTTGGTCGGGTGGAATACCTTCTTTGTCCTAAATCTTGGCCTTGACGTTCTCAATAGTGTCTGATGGTTCAACGTCGAGGGTGATAGTCTTACCGGTGAGGGTCTTGACGAAGATTTGCATACCTCCTCTGAGTCTTAGGACCAAGTGGAGAGTAGATTCCTTTTGAATATTGTAATCTGAGAGGGTTCTACCATCTTCCAATTGCTTACCGGCGAAAATGAGTCTCTATTGATCGGGTGGGATTCCCTCCTTGTCTTGAATTTTAGCTTTCACGTTTTCAATGGTATCGGATGGCTCAACATCAAGAGTGATGGTCTTGCCGGTAAGGGTCTTAACGAAGATCTACATACCTCCTCTGAGTCTTAGGACCAAATGGAGAGTAGATTCTTTCTGGATGTTGTAGTCAGATAGGGTTCTGCCGTCTTCTAACTACTTTCCAGCGAAGATAAGTCTCTGTTGATCGGGTGGGATACCTTCCTTATCTTGGATCTTGGCCTTGACATTTTCAATAGTGTCAGATGGCTCAACATCTAAGGTAATAGTCTTTCCAGTTAATGTCTTTACGAAGATTTACATGATTGATTGTTTGTAGTTTATTTATTAAAATTATTAAGTGAATGCACTATTTATACTATCAGATTAATAAATACTGATAATTCCCGACCAAAATAGAAATTCCAGAGCTTTCGATCAGAAAATTGTTCTTTTTCTCGATCTTTCTTTCTTCATCATGGGGTTTTGGGGTTTTGGGGTTTTGGGG